TTCTTGACTTTACTGTTATTCTTTGACTTTGTAAAACTGTAACAATACAGAAATAAAACAAATTTAAGTATGCAGACTTTACACCTACAGTGGGCCAAAGTATTTAGTCAGCCACCAATTGTGCAAGTTATCCCACTTAAAAAGATGAGAGTCCAGAAAATCACATTGTCTGAATTTTAAAGAATTTATTTGCAAATTATGGTGGAAAATAAGTATTTGGTCACCAACAAACAAACAATATTTCTGGCTCTCACAGACCTTTAACTTCTTCTTTAAGAGCCTCCTCTGTCCTCCACTTGTTAAACTGTATTAATGGCACCTGTTTGAACTCGTTATCAGTATAAAAGACACCTGTCCACAACCTCAAACAGTCACACTCCAAACTCCACTATGGCCAAGACCAAAGAGCTGTCAAAGGACACCAGAAACAAAATTGTAGACCTGCACCAGGCTGGGAAGACTGAATCTGCAATAGGTAAGCAGCTTGGTGTGAAGAAATCAACTGTGGGAGCAAGAAAATGGAAGACATACAAGACCACTGATAATCTCCCTCGACCTGGGGCTCCACGCAAGATCTCACCTTGTGGGGTCAAAATGATCACAAGAACGGTGAGCAAAAATCCCAGAACCACACGGGGGGACCTAGTCAATGACCTGCAGNATACTCAACTGTTGATAAAGGTGCAAGACTGTAGACTGCCCACATTTCTTGACACAGTTCCTTTATACCAATCATCCTTTCTGCCAGCACGCAGAAAAGTCCCACATCAGACTAGAGGCTGCTCACTTTTCTGCGTGCTGGCAGAAAGGATGATTGGTATAAAGGAACTGTGTCAAGAAATGTGGGCAGTCTACAGTCTTGCACCTTTATCAACAGTTGAGTATTTAAAACACTTCATACTAAGCATTAATGTAATGTATCAGCAAGCAAGTGTAAGTCAGATGTTAAAACATTTTCTGACAACAGCGCAATCATTTCTTGGAACATATCAATCTTTCAACATGTCCCAAATAAAGCTACATAATTAAAGAGACAGGCATCAACTTTCATAGGTTGGGCGATTTAAAGTTACTTGTCAGCAGGGTGATGGGCCTTTATCTTACATTTCTTTACAGGGTTACCATGCATCCCACTGCTTAGATTTACATCCTTTTGCCTCACATCACATGCCACAATATTCTACATTTTGTTATGGCCTCGGTCAGTTTAAAACAGCCTTCAATGAAAACAATGCCCATGACAAATTCCAGCTCAGAGTCAACAAGCAACAGCCCAAAAGTATGGGTAAAACAGAGAACATGTTTTAAATTGTTATAATCTCTGGGGTACTGGTCTTGTAGATTCCCCTGTACACCTGTAGCTAGCAATGACTATGTGTTACATTTACTTTCTTAGTAAATTACAATGAGACCCAGATTGTAAAAACAACCAAGAAAGGGAGAAGTTCATACAGGACATTTTTTAAAGAGTCAGTCTTCAGCATATGATGCAGTAGAAGATGGTGAGCAATGTTCAATTCTATGAGAAAAATTCAAAGGTAAAGGAGAAAGAGTGAACAAACAAAAGATCAATGGCCAAGAGTCAGTGTGTGCCATGGTGTATTTGAGTTTTGAGGGAAAATAAAAAATAGCTTATTTGAAGAATTATGGACACAGATACATAACACATTAACACAAGATTGCTTTGGAACTCAAAATGTTAACTGTACCGATATTAGTCTATCTATCACATGATTAGTAACAATAAGTTTAAAATAGGTCCAAAGTATTTTTTAAATGCAATTCCTGAAAGCTTAAACAACATTCTGAGCATTAAGCAAACAACATTTAAAGAAATTAAGTTATTTTGAAATTATATCTACCTGAGCAGAGAGTACAGTCACTCTCCCTCTGTGTTATAAACCAAGTTTCCCTGTGCTTTGTTACATAGGTGACCCATGCATTTAGTGCATGATAATCCCTGTGTGGCTAGCTAATGGCCGCTGTCTGCAATGCACTCATACTGCGGCTATCGTTGTTTGCACTTTTAGCTGCTAGCTACCTTAACAATGTTGGGCACAACAGAGACTCTCAATCATAGAAATGCCGAGTATTCTGTAAAAAAATCTGTCACGCTCATATTGATATAGTATTTGTAGTAGTAGTAGGATTCCTGAATTTGCTTTTGGTTGTAGTGTGCCCACCCAAGATGTTCAGTTGCCAGCTCTAGCCACACCTATAAACGTTTCTGGAGGTTCAACTGAGTGTGTGGTCCATGCAATGTGGATCTGAAGGGTGTTGAGCTTTAAGTCTGAGTGAAGGTTGAAATGCACTTTTCAAAGTCAAGTCGAAATGTTAAGTGTTAGGGGTATCATTCCAAACACTATATGATAAATTGACTGTCAGATTCAACTGCTAAGAGTCAGGATTCCTTTGTTTTCATCAAATCTTTTAGCCATGTCTGAAAACTTCTAATATGGATGAAAATGGATGAAGTCAAAATGGATGAAGCTAATAACTAATCAATTAAAGAGGATTCTACCTTATCATAAACCTAATAGCATCTAAATAACCATATTAAAACCATGTTAAATATGTTTATGAGAAAGATATAATTCGTGAAATATTATCCACGCTTGCCTGTTGTTATAGTTACACAACACTTTTTCATGCTTGTGAGTTTCCCACGAGCAGAGTGGCCAGAAGTAGCAGGCTTTAGAACAAGAAATGGAAATATTTGCATAAAAAAATCATCCACAAATGTAAAAGTATATATGTGATCAATATTATGAAACAATGTAAAACACAGGGCACTGTATGTGCAAAAATGAATCAAAATGTAAAATACTCAATCTGCTTTATCAAAATATTTGGGAAACGGGGAAAAGTGAATCTTAGTAATGGGGTGTGCTGGTTTGAAAAAGGGTTTGAGACCCATAGTTGTAACGTGTAAGGGTCAGTGCAGAGGTGGCAGGGGAGGAGTTACAGATGCAGAGCAGCTAGCTACATTTTCCCAACACTCTGGGATGAAATGTGCCCCGTCGTCTTCCATGCAGCACCTACAGAGACCAGTAGACTTGTTATTGTGAGTGTCATTGTGCAGGCGTAATCCTCCCTCTTCAAAGCACCCAGTGCAGCTCTTCCCTCACTCTCCCTTTTTGTACACAGCCCGTCAAGAAAGCAGCGGCTGGTTGATAAGAGGAATCCGGCGCCCACAATAGGCCGAGTCTACTAGGTTGTAGCGCTTCATCATCCCCCCCAACACTCCTTTTGATCTTGCCGTGGTACTGGAGATTCCCAGAGAGGGAATGGATCACTGGAGGGCCTAAACATGTGGAATTGTTAAGAGAAACAGCTGGCTGGGCACAGAAACACACACACACACCCTGACACTGATATCATACACACACTCTCAAACTTCCATTTCTCATGCTCCTCTTAAACGCACTCACTTAGTCACACCACCGTATGTATATGTATGCCTTCATGATGTCTGCCTTTGGAAATCAGTTGTCTAGATTCCCAATACCTACAATTTTTTGTTGACGTAGCAGATATGCAATTCCAGAATAAAGTATGTATGATGTATTCTAATATATTGTAGAATTAAAAAATTAATAATAACGTTTCATCTCGTTAATACAAATTGCAACATTGGCCTAATTTGACCAGAGATATTAAAGATATAGCTCTCGTATTGTAAATGTTATAGCAAATACGCAACATGTTTGACTATCATCAACAGTGTTTCATCAACATTTTTGAAAAGAAAACATAATTTTACCACATGGTATACGCTTCCAATCAATGAAAATTAGATTCATGTTATGGATTATTCTTTTTAAAGTGACAGTACTATTATTTAATCAAAGCTTTTAACAATAAATGGTTGAGATGTATTGGTTCCAATACAAATCAAAGTTCAACTGCGTTATTTAAACTTGTCATACACTTCGTTAAATAAGCCTAAGTAACTAAGAGCGTGTTGGATCACTTAACTGTGTCTGCAACCCATTCTCTGACCCACCTTTTTTGTAACTTCCTGAATCATAATCCCAAAGCCCTCCCCCTGTACTCTGCAAATAGCCCGGTGTGCAGAGTTGTAAAAGTAAGCTTGTTACAATTTATTGCCTCACCCGCTAACTATGAGTTCAAGTGCTGCTGTTCTGAAAAGGTAAAATCACTTTGGCCGAAGGCGTGGTCAACTGACATGTAGTACGACCTAGTTTGTTTCAAGCGCAAAGAACAAAGAAACCTTTTTATTCACGTTTATTTGTGTTTAAGATTGTGCTGCATTCAGTTCCTCTGTCTGGCTCAACAGCCAGTCGAGTGAGCGGCAACGCCCTTTACTAGGCAGTCATGGCCATATTACACAAAGCCAATGGCCACATGTGTTGACACAGGCCTTCATCTGCTCTGTCTGGAGGGTGTATGCGGAGCCAGAGATGAGAAGAGGTCTGTTTTGAATGTTCAAGATTAACCCGTCTTTCAGTGAGGATGATACCGGGACTGATCTCTCTTACTGATTGGATTGGAGGCCAGGGAGAGAGATTTAAATTACCTTGCCTCAATCCCCCCTCCTCTCTCTCTCTCTATCTTACGCGACGGAGTATTTACAGTAACATGATCAGATGGTGTTAGGCACTATGAGCCTTTGAAGAAGGGCATTTGCACCAATCGGAACAGTTAATATGTAGACTGGGGTTTTGATGCCACGCCATTTTCCAAGAAAGCATGCAAGGCTTTCTAGAGTGTCCTCCAATGTTTGAACACGTTGCCATGGGTAGCATTCTCAGATAAACTGCAGGCCTTTTTGAACCGTACCCTCTTAAGCAATGAGGAGTCGGCTATCTAAACTGTTGTCCGATCTCGGGTGCCATTAAAAACCACTTAGGGCTTTATAAGGGGTGCAGAGCCCTTTGCGAAATATCCTTTAGGACAGATGGGATGAAAACGTTTTTTGTTTCCCAGAAGAGGTCAGGAAAGGTAGCTCCCTTCATGTTTTTTATGGCTTTGAGTGCTATATTAACATATTCTTTATTTTAGTCTGGAGGCATTTAAAAGATGAAAGATACAGCGTGTTCCCATACTTTGTATGGCCTCTCAGTATCACAAGTATGAGAGGATTTCAATCTCCTCGTATATAAATGCCTGCAAGGAGAAAAATCACTACAAGGCCAGAGATTTTGACACCAAGGACAACATCAAGAAACATGATGAAGGAATTTTTAGCAAGTTGGGTTAATTCTATAATGTGCTTATGAAGGGTTTATTGTATACAAGTAGGTTTCGTCCACTGTTAAGGTCAAGATGATTTCAGGCTTAAGAGAAAGCAGTGCCTCACTCATCACACTGTGACACAATATCTATGATTCTTTCCTGGTCCCAATCCCTTAGTAACATCACTGAGCTACAGTGAGCTAATGGGATCTTCACCTGCACTATCAGTGACAAAACTACACTTATCCTTCATACATAATTGTTTTTATGGGCACATTGGATCCTCCCTTTAAAAGATGATGAATGCAGTATGTTAAAAAATGTCAAGTCCCTGAAGTTGGTTGCCTGCGCAAATGCAGTTTTTTTTCTAAATCCTTCTGAAAGGTTCCAACCACAATAATAGCTATTAAGAAATGTGTGTAGTGCTAAACATTTGTGAATCTGATCCTATTTGTTACTCAATTGTTAAATCAATTACTGCCTCGCTTTTACGTAGAAGCCATACATTAACACATTTCCTTCAAATTTTTCAACAGGAGGATGTTTCCCAGCTACAAGGTTAAAGTGTCTGGGATGAACCCCAAAACGAAATACATCCTACTTATTGACATTGTTCCAGCTGATGACCATCGCTACAAGTTCTGTGATAACAAGTGGTAAGTTTGCAATTGCAAAGCCATACATGACCTTTGTTGAAGGTTGCCTCATGGCCTTCTTTTAAAGCCTTAGTTGTCCTGCAAACCAGTAGATTAGCTTATGTTAGACATCGCTGTGTATCTGGCATTAAGATGTGTGCTGACTTTACTTCTCTAGACCATGTTTCATCATGTCCCAATTTAACATTTCATTGGGTTTATTTAATTGATTTATGTCTTTTAAGCAACTGACACTAGACATTTAAAATTGACTTCTGTCCTGTAAGGGTTGAATCATTATGCTTTAGCAATGGAGGACTAAGAGCTAGAACAGGGTTGTCCAAATTTTTTTTTTTCACAGAGGGCCACATACAGAAAAATAATCGAAGGGCTGGGCCGCTCACTAGAGATGAGGTATACTGCCTCATAAGTTAAGTTATAAGTCAGCTAAATCAATCAAAAGTAGGTAAATTATGCTTGATACTTGAATCTCCTTTAAGAAAAATAAACAGCCTACATCCGAGCTCTACAGAGAGTTTCATTGAATTGGTTAGCAGCTCATCCCAACAGGAGCCCCAGATTGATTATCATGAGAGGAAATAGGAAGGGTATATTTCAAGTTTGTTATGTATATAAGTTATTGGGCTTTTTTCTTATCGACTTAGATTTGTTAGAACATAATTTAAAATGTAATTGACTGAATTTATTGTAAATTGGTCTTATTAACACATGAACACTACTGTGTAATATATGTTTACAGACATATTTAATAAATACAATACAAGAAAAGCTCAAGTTTCATTTGTGTGCCGTATTCTATTATACTTTTTTTATTTGCTGAGGGCCGATTCAAAATGTCCCGTGGGCCGCATTTGGCCCCTGGGCCGTAGTAATACCAGTCCCATGTTGCTTCCCAAGTCCTTATTGCCAGGCAAGAACATCATATGCTAATTATGAATATTCTTCAAACCACAGAATTAATAAAAAAGTATATATTTTTGTGTGTAACAAGCAACATGTAATGTGTGTCCAATGCAAGAATACAAATAAAATAAAAATACCCTTTCGTATGGTAACAACTTTATGATTAACATTGGTAATAGGTTGTGCTGATGGTTAGTAACAATGCTCAAGGCATTTTTTGACAAGGCATTGTGCATCAGTATGATAAATATAACAACAACTTTACATGTGTTGTTTGAAAAACATTCTCACAGAAATGGATTGCGGTGTCAAACTATGACACTGCAAGAAAAGCTGAAAAGAACACAAAATAAATAATTCTTCTGATCTTTTGGTTGGCATGGCCTGGCCATGGTGGGTTCTGGTGTTTCTCAGCGACACCTTGGAGAAGCATGATAAGTAATGATGTCTTAGCAGAGCCCCCCACCCCCCCCACCAGTCTAAGGGATTTAATACTGTGAGGGTTAAGATCAATGGTAATATACGCCTATATATTGCTCCATTATTGTAAATAAGATTTGGTTCATGTTAACCTCTTGACAATGGCCATAGAATACATTACATTAGTTTGTCTTTTACTTATCAAAGTTTGCTTCTGCACGTCTCTCAATCTGTTTTTCAGGATGGTGGCTGGCAAGGCCGAACCAGCAATGCCAGGCAGACTCTATGTGCACCCTGATTCCCCCGCCACAGGAGCTCACTGGATGAGGCAATTGGTGTCGTTTCAGAAGCTCAAGTTAACCAATAATCACCTAGATCCTTTTGGGCATGTGAGTACATGCAGAGATTATAAGTACTTTTCATAACTCAACAAAATGGTTAATGTTATTAGAAAATGTATTGGATTATTGATCTTGATATTATTCTAACAGTGAATGATTACATTTTACTCAACAATTTGATTGCTAAGATACAGTATGAGAAAATGGAAACATTTCCTAACATAGCTTTAGAATGGTGTCGTCACTTAGTAATTAGTGGTACATCATTTGGTTATATTGCAGACTTAAACCATCTAACACATGCATCCTGAACACAATTTGTGGAAATGTCATGACTAGTGGGAGCTGTCAGACCAAAATCAGGAAATATTGCAGTGAGTAGAAACCAACAGCCAATGTGAAAAATGTTGTTGATACATGTACAAAACAGCAAAAGGTGAAGGTATCTTTCACAGGAAGATTTTTTAAGAAAGGATAAAAGAAACTGAGGAGGCAGAGGCTGCAGAGGGAGGTGAAGAGTGTGACTGTGGCAGCGCTCCCCAGGGGGACTCGGGGTTAGCTTGTCTAAAGCCATCTCATCAATGGGTGGGCTCATTAGGTTCATAACCTCTCAGATCAGTGGTGGGGCATGCTGTCAGATTGAGTTCAGTGCCTGGCCAGTGATAAGGGTGAGTAATGAGGACAAAGCAAGTTACAATCAAAAATAACAGAAAATAGACTTGTATGTCGACCATTAAACCTGTCCAAATGCAGAATAATCAAGTGCCTTGATTTATTCAGACTGTTATCAAAAGAATATATTGGAAAATACAGCAAATTATGTTAATTGCTGACAATCTAGTACCAATGCACCCTGTTAAAGTTGGGGTGGTGGTTCCCATCAAAGACAGTCACTTTTTTAATAACCTTAACAAAATATTTTCTTGGCCGTTATATACTTTGATTATCTTTATATACATAAATAGATATGTGTTTATTATTGAGATAGGAAGGGGGAAATACATGCTTACACACTTATCACATTTAAACCCCCAGTTTTGGTTGCATAACCCTAGCCTTACCTTTACTATTTATTAACCAAAGATTAACCAAGGTTTTGCCGAATCATCCAATATTGACATTCTTGTGTAGTTATATGGTTGGGTCATTACATGCTATGGTAAATTAATTCTTAATGTCCCTCAACAACTAATTGCAGGCACATATCAGATAAAGCAAATAATTATGCCTGAATGTTTTTATAAGGGGTAGATGAAAGCAAATACCTTCCTTAGCCCTTCACGGTTCTGAGGAAGGCTACCCTGATCGTCCCTGTACATTCTGACAGTCACCCAAGAGTCTCCAGTATCACCCTCAAACAGCAGCCAGACAGCAGAGCAGACAAAGGTCAACAGAGAGCCTCCGGTGAATGAGCCAATAGCTTATCTATGTGTCTCTAGCCTGCCTCAGCAGGTGGTGGTGGCGAAGTCCATAGGGACTTGGCTTGGCAACTGGAAGGTCACCAGTTCAAGTCCCGGAAAGACCAAGTGCTACCGAGGTGTCCCTGAGCAAGGCACCGTTCCCTACACTGCTCCACGGGCGCCGTACATAATGGCAGCCCACTGCTCCTAACACTAGGATGGGTCAAATGCAGAGAATGCGTTTCATTACATAGTACCTGACCTGTACTACGTAATGACAATAAGTTGAATCTTCTTCAATGTGTGCAAGGGTCCTTTCTTATTTCAACCTGAACCTAGACCCTCCATGCAACTTTTGTGTCTCTTTGAGAGCCCCCTAGAGTCTAAGTCTCCTTAGGAGAATGTCTGGCAAATGAGGAGGGGAACCGAAGTGCAGAGCTTGATGCTTATCACCACTGACAGAGCTGGACTAGTGATGACCCTGCCCTACTGTTGCTAACGCTTCGCTTGGCTCAGCACTCGGCTGCAGTGAACAGGCTGGTACTAGTGAGCTGACCTGCAGCAACCCAAACAACATAACGAAGTATGCTCATCGAATGTTACCTGCTCTAATAATTCACAATATTTAGGTTCCAGATCAAGTCTGACTTTGATCAGAAAAGGCATGTTATCTAATCCAACAATGCTGCACTTGAAAGGCTCGATACCAATGAGGAACTAAACAGGGAATGGGTCGTAAAATATGGTTTAACATGCATGTAAGCTAACAGTTAAAAGACTATTTATCCTATCAAGCTAACCTCTTGCCTCAGAATAATATCAAATAAAGGCGTAAACACAATAATTAAAAATATGTTGAACCTTCGGCATATTAGGAATGTCAAATGGGGGATAAACATGGGTAATTTGGTGAGTGTTCAAAATAAAGTGTACCGCAGAATAGTGGCTGTTCATAGACCGCTGCTTTCAGAAGTAAAAAATTAAATGTCTTATATTCTCTTCCTCTTCCTAGATCATCCTGAACTCTATGCACAAGTATCAGCCCAGACTACATATAGTTAAAGCCGATGAAAACAACGCCTTTGGATCCAAGAACACTGCCTACTGTACTCATGTCTTTCATGAGACAGCCTTCATCTCTGTAACCTCTTATCAAAACCATAAGGTACAGCAACTAAAACACTTCATAAAAAAGATAAATATAAAATTATGCATTATTCCTTGTTTTACACACTTAAAAGTAAAACTAGTTTGTGGTACCTGTTTTTATACAGATGAACAGGGGTTACACTCAAAACCTTTTTCTGTCTGAAGCTATATCCTGTTTAACTAAAATGGAGATTTGAAAGTATAGTGAATGTTTTTAGGCGTAGATTGATCACATTTAATGATAACAGTTTGTATAGAGGTGCATTACTTTAACTATTAATATAAAAAATTGAATAAAATAATTGTTTTCTAGATCACTCAGCTTAAGATAGAAAACAATCCTTTTGCCAAAGGATTCCGGGGTAGTGAAGAAGGAGATCTGCGCGTCTCAAGACTACAAGGGTATGTTTACACAAAAAGGAACCAGTAAAGTAAAACTGATCCTGTAGGACCATTTAGCACACTGAAAGTCTCTCGTAAACATCAGCTGTTCAGAAGCCTTTGTGTATGGATATAAAAAACAAAGCTTGCCTCCTTGAAAGACTGTGTTGAGTGGTAATGCAAGCATGGTAGATTGATTACTTTTCTCCTCTGTTGCTGCTATGTATAGGAAAGAATATCCAGTGATTTCAAAGAACATAGTCCGACAGAGGCTCATCTCCTCGCATAGTCATCTAGCAGGAAAGCTTGGAGCAGGAGTTCTCACAGGGCACCCTCAAGTACTGTCTCCTTATCAGTATGAGACTGGGGTTCCTTTGTCTAACTCAGACCCCCAAGATCCTATCTCGAACCACTTTCCTCAGAGTAGAGATCCCAGCCTTCTGTATCACTGCTTCAAACACAGAGGTAAGTTCTTAGCCCCTTTGTTTTCAGCCATTGAACCGAATCAGATGTGCTTATGAAGTACTTCCTGTTTTAAAAGAAACTATGCCATTAATCATATCCCTTTGCAGATAACGCCCGACACCTAGAGCTTGGATGTAAGCGGCCATATCTGGAGACATCATCTGCAGTTTCAGAGGAGCATTACTTTCGTTCAGCAACCTCTTATGAGTCGCCGTTACTGTCCCATCCTTACTGCACTGAGGCAATCACCTCTAGAGAAGCTTGTATGTACGGCAGTATGGAAACAGAGTCTGGATCTGGGGCAGGGGATACAGATGACCTGACTAACCCCTCTTCAATAAATTGCAACATGTGGGCGACAATGCAGCCCTACCCTCGCTATGGTGTGGAGGGTGTACCATACCAGCCCTTCACAGCTCATTTCACCAATACTGCCACAGTCACGTCGATTGTACCACAACCAACATCCTCAATGGCATCTCGACCAGCTTCTGACTTGGGGGTCTACAACCCGGCTACGGTCCAGCGAGGTTTGCCCGTTATACCTCCTTCATCCTGCTCTCCGGCTGTTCTGGGATCCAGAGATAGGTCAGGGCATCCACCTTTGTACCACAAGAAGCCAGGGTCACCGCTCCGGCCTCACAGAGATTTCTCAGCCTATCCCACACAGGGTACAATATCAATCCGGGATCCATCCTATCAGTACCAAGTGGGGCTAAGTAGCGCAGGAACTCAATGGACTGACAGCTAACATGGACAACTGTAGAAACAATTTTTTTTATACATAAAAATCTGAAATAATCTAGGTTCAAAACCCCACTTTGGGCTGCTGATGCCAATCAACAATAATGAACTACAGCCATAATCATTGCACTCCAAAACCATTCACATCCATTTGTTCTCACTGAAGCAAATTGACATACAACATTGTATGTGGTGTGGTGAACACTGGCTGACCTTATTACTTATGCAGATGTCTAGCATATGAACATCACAAAGTCTATCAGAGGCAAAAGTAAGCTCAAGGGAGCAAGACGTGTTGATGCGATCGCAGAGTCTGACAACATCCAAAAAGTGTTTGCTACCTAGCCTAAAGTAAAAGAGGATAGGTTTCCATAAAATAAAATAAATGAGGTACAATTGCTGTGCTTGCCCTTGAAGAGAAAGAGAGGTTTGTAAAATATGTGTACATGATGGTCTTTGAGTGAAAACTGAGCATTGAGGGTTCCATTACTTATTATAGAGCACCACGTTGATAGAGCAAGATTGCAGTTACTCTAAATGTTTCTTATTGTCAACAAGTCCAATAAGAAGACATAAACCAAATACTTTGTTAGCCTACCCTTCCTGTATTACAAATATGTAAGCCGATTGCGGTGAAAATGTATATCTTTAAAAAAGTGGTCACAAATATACAGTACAGTCACAGCATTTTACCAAAACAGCTGGCAATTGTAGTTTTGTACAAAATCAAATTTGTTGAAAAATGTTTTTATCTGTAATTTTAGTTGTTTCAGACCGTCAACTCAAGTCAAGTCCACATACTTGTCTCAATGCAAAATAAATCTAACAAGCCCTCTAAGTCATTGAGGTGTACTTAACAGAGATTGGCTCAAAATAATTTACTGTGGCTTTGATTGTAGTACTAAGGAACACGTAAACTTATGCAACAGTGCAACGTTAAGCTACGTTTGTTCATGGGACAACTTTGAGAAGGGCCTGGGGTTTGGTTTCAAAAAGGTTTTAGAGATTTCAAAAGTTATCACAGCCAACATAACTTGAATCCTAATTATTTATCTGTGCCTACTGAGATTTGCTACAGTGTAATGTATAGGGTAAAAGTGCATTGAGTTCACTGCAAAGTGAGATTGATCATATCAGATAATCATATCCACAAATATATTAAACTAGCCAACTATTTATGACAGTTTATTTCCCACAATGTACATACAGATTATTTAAATGAAGGAATATGTGCGCCAAAAATCCTCAATTAAAAAGTTGTTAGTGAATGGGTCTTATTCAAATGTTGTATTGTTGCATACTAGCACTCAGAAGAAATGTTGTGAGTCAAGACCAAGCAATACTACAGTGGTTGTTCGTCAAAGCTTGGCTCAAAACACTATAATAGTGAAACGGGACAGCAACCAGATGCAGGCTTAAGGAAAAAAAAGTTTAAGCAATGGTGAGTACTGGAAAAGAGAGCTGCACACAAATCCCACTCCCAAATGATTTACTTGGAAAAAATCCTTGCAAGACTACAAATAGAAAACAGGATAAGCATGCAGAACGCTGAAAGAAAAAGGCTCTTTGTAGCATTGCATCCAAGGGAGTTTAAACTTGCAATGACAAGGAAAGATTGTCTGTACGGTATGAAGATGATCCTTCATGCATTAGTGCATTGTCCCTAGATTTTAAATGTTGTAAAATGTGATATTGCATTTTTAAATATATGGACATAAATAAACATTTTCTTGCTTCTAATTGTTGCTTTATTTAATTAAAGATCAACATTGTTCTTCTAAAAAGTTTAACCCCACTTTATGAAGAGATTACCATTTTCGCTCTTTTTCGTTATGGATAATATGCAAATTTTTGCTTTTATGGATTTACAAGAAGATTCCACAAAAAAAGTTTTTCTTGCTCAATTACATAACCTAAAAACACAAGAGTTAAACAAAATATATATAACAGTCAAGATATTTTACCAAAAATAAATACAATAGTCAAAATGTTTGATACCAGATAGCCAGTTATCCAAGTGTTCTGTCGACAAAAAACTGTTTGTATATTACGAAATTACAAAAAACTTTTAGGAAAAAATTAGGTACTTTTTAGGATACAGTATAGGTTTGCCTGCAGTCATAAGCTGAGCATTTTTTCAACCTTCTCTCCTTAATAAACGTATCAATGCTTAATGTGTTTTACGTTGACAAAGTTGCCCCTAAATTCGCACGTGTCTTTAAAAATGTATGTTTTTCAGAAGCCATGTAGTAAACTATTTCAAGTTCTCCATGACTGAACTAGTTTTACTGTTCAAAACACAATTTATAATATATAAAGACCATATGGTGTTGTCCAATATAATGAATAAGATGCACTTACAGTATCTACTTGAGTTACAATCAGTAAATGTCGAATAGGAATCAAAAGTCAAGGTAAAGCAGATTTGTTAAAAGTATGTAGACAGCAGGGTGAGTACATCAGGATATAGGGCACTGCTTTCTCTCACACATTGCTCTCATTTGATCATGAGTTATGCTGATGGCTAGGTTCTGGTTCCTGTCTGCACCTCATTTTCTATCTTTTTCTCAGCTGATGATGCATTTCACATGAAGGGAGGCTCTTCACAGAGGGCTACCATTCAAATCGACAAATCATCATCCAGGTATCTTGAAATACTGAAATATAACTTGCCTGATGACAATGTTCAGACATTAATTTAACTGTCAGAGTACAGAGTACAGTTGCTGTCATTAGGGTGATTTGCCTAAGCAAAGGCAATACAAGTCTTTTTGCTAATTGTATTTGTAAAGTATTGTTTTTTTTTACCGTTTCCAATCATTTAAATATGCATACGAAAATGTATTGGCAGACTTGTTTTAGTTCCCTTTCAGTGAACATCAAGCCTGCAAACATTGTTGGTTGAATTTCAAGATGGAGAGGGATAGAATAAAGTGCAATTTAATGGTAGCCTGAAATTATGACTTTATCCAAGAACTCTTAAACAAGTCAGCATGTTTTGCAAAATGGTCTAAATAAATAATATAAATAAAAGGAGGGATGAAACCCTCTTTAATGGTCACACATGCAGAGCACACATCAAACACAGTGACATGTGTTCTCTGCATTTAACCCATCCTAATACCAGGAGTCTAGTACTAGGAGCAGTGGGCGGCTATTGTACAGCGCCCGGGGAGCAATGGGAGTTGGGGGGGGGGTGGGGAGTTGTCCGGTGCCTTGCTCAAGGGCACCACGGCAGGGCAGGAGGTGAACTGGGACCTCTCCAAGTAGCAGTCCACAGTCCATATTTACACTGTCGGACATCTGTAATATCAAGTATGTGATTTGCAGTAAATAGGATCTAACATGCAAAACCACTAGTATGGAAACACAGTGTCCTTGGAATGATGTTCATATACTACTAATATGTCTGGATTATATTCACTCACAATGTTTATTCCAGGGAAGGAACTGCAACGTTCTTGTACAACACACAAGACTCATGGAGATGGTCAGAGGTTATGAGAGGATGTACAAAGAGCAGGACTTTAATACCAGAGTCAAGTGTTAGGGTAGGGCAGCTTTTTCTCAAAGTGTGGGGCGCGCCCAGAGATGTGATATGAACGCGATGAACGGGAGATTCTTCTTCTTTTTTTTTTAAAAATACATTTTTTGGACCTCTGGTCGGAATCGAACCTGGGTCCTCGCGGGCGGTAGTGGACTGTTACAGCCGGAGACTCGCAACGGCTGTGGACTTTCACAGCGCCGCTGCGGTACCCTGTGATTGAGCGAGAGAGAGAGAGAGAGAGAGAGAGAGAGAGAGAGAGAGAGAGAGAGAGAGAGAGAGAGAGAGAGAGAGCACACCTTTATCTATTTAATATAGCCTAGGTGTAAAAAATATAGTAAGAAATAATTCCAATGTGTGCTATAGGACAGTAAAAAAAAGAAAAACAGTTTAAAAGGGGAGTGATAAGTAAAATATGCATACGTAAAAAGAAAGAATGCTAACTAGGTAACATAAAATAAGAATAAACAAGTTTAAATGATTTGTTATTGGTTGTGATCATATTCTAAAGATGTTTGGATTATTGAAAAGTATACAGCTCTCTTTCATCTGAGTGTTGAGAGCTGTATCCATAATTCATTTTGTGCTCAAAGTGCACCAGATTGATGCATTTCACTTCAACATTAAAAAAAACTCTTCCCGGGGCTGCATGCCCCCGGACCCCCCTAGAGGAGGTGAGGTCCACCCCCAAATAAAGCAAATTAAAATAATCAAATGCATGCATTTTATTTTAGTAAACATTGAAAAGGGTCCCACAGACCCAAACAGCACACAAAGGTTAAAGGTAAGCATATCATAATGTTAAAATTTGCTAAATATATACAATGCAAAAAACTAAAAAAGAGGAGTAAAAGTAGCTCACGACTTGTTTTATTTTTTGAAAGTAGCTCTCATCCTAAAAAAGGTTGGAGACCCCTGTTATAGAACGATACATTTGACAATTTTATGCTTGGCCTACCATTTTATTGGAGCGATGAGGAACAGGGGGGGGGGCTTGAAAAGGCCCACCTGTTCAAAGTGGGGATGACAGAAAAAGTTTGAGAACCACTGGGGTAGGGTAATCATCAAAAAGTGCTTTGGATAAGGAAAGATTTTGGTTTGGTCAAATGTTAGGAAAGAATAACCCATCATCATCATCATCATCATCATCATCATCATCAACATCATCATCATGTATTTTGCTTGAAAAAAACCTGCATTTGCTGTTGCAAATTAGTGGACGATAAACACAAATTCAAAAAAGAAAGGATTGAGTATGGTTTGAATACAGCATTCTGTGATGGCCACTTGGCATTGGCAATGTCTCTACATTTAAATAATATAACATTGTGTAGTGCACATAATTGCTAAATAATGTAAAGGGTACCATAAAAATGTTTCATGAGATGCTATTTATTCGAACATTAATACTGACAAGGCAACAGTGCACAGATTTAAACAAATCATTTTCTTAATTAGGCGGT